GTGGTTGGATCCATAAACAGAAAGTTGGGAATCCTTATTATGTCATCCAAAGACACAGCATCAAGGCAATGAAGCACACAGGTATCCCTCCTTAAAGGACCAAACGTTATCTCAGTTGATGGTCTTAAGATGAAGTTTGGCAAAATGTTTTAATGTCAGATAATTTAATAATGGTAAATGAACTCCAATTTCCACCCCTCCTTCATGCAACTGTAATATATCTTGGTATAAGCTGGCTCTTCCTCAGTTCTAAAACGGAAGTACATGATGCAGACCTATGCTCATCAGCATACCATTCTTTTGGCTGAGATTGATTCACATATGAGTACATAATCTAAGTTGGTCAGATCAATTAGAGATTCTATTTCCAGGTAAGAAGAAAAGACTTTTTCCATTGTACCTGAACAAATAGTCTTGGAAGCTACTGGCACTCATCTTGTAACCACAAGTTTTCAGGTAGACAATACCATAAAAACAGATCCGGAAAACCAGCTGCCAGTCACATCATTTGCAAAACCTTTGGGGCCAGGCCAAATAAGTACACAGCATGTTGGTGAAAGGGACCAAGGTACAGCCACTTATCATCAGGTTACTCTATTGTTTTTGTGAAGTTTCAAATGCTGCTTTCTAAATTACCTCATTTAGTCCTCATCGGTACCCTATGAAGTAAATTATTGTTAATTCCATTTTATAGATTGAGAAAATTGCACTTTAGGAGAGTATGTATGACTTCTCTAAGGGCAAAGAGGAAAGAAGGAATAGCATAATGTACATCTATGGCATTGTCTGCCCTGCCCTACTGCCCTCATTTTCCTGTGAACTGTCTCCACCTTCTCATAGTTCTCCTGTGACCCTGCCGGCCTTATCACAGTTAGTCAAGGAGTAGGCACCTGATCTAAATGCAACTAATGAATCTTTACCTTCAGAGCTCTATACTTAAAGACTCAAAGATTTGAAGACAGTGGTCAAGGCTAAAGCTGTTAGATATAAAGTTCCAGTGCTCTAGGCAGCCATATTTTCCACATGTGACTAAAACCAGTCTACAACCTGAGAGAATGACACTAACACAAAAAATATATAAGAGAACACAGAGAATGAGCCTTGCTTGCATTTAAGCCCAAGTTCCGGTTTTTAATCAAGTTCAACTGAATCTTTACCTTTAATGAGACTAGGTTTTCCTGAATCCAAAATTATTTTTTAAACAATCAACAAAGTAAGGAGGCAACCCAAAGAAGGGGAGAAAATATGTGCAAACAAGGGAGTCATAACTAGAACATATAAGGAGCTCAAACAACTCAGAAGAAAAATAATCCAATTTTTAAATGGACAAAGGATGTGAATAAACATTTCTCCAAAGAAGACATACATCACGCATGAAATCCCAGCACTTTGGGAGCCGGATTACTTAAGCCCAGGAGTTTGAGACCAGCCTGGCCAAATGGCAAAACCCTATTTCTACAAAAATAAAAATACAAAAATTAGCCAGGCATGGTGGCACACACCTGTACTCCCAGCTACTCAAGAGGCTGAGGTGATATCATTTGAGCCATGGAGGTCAAGGCCATGACCACATCACTGTACTCCAGCCTGGGCGACAAAATGAGATCCTGTCTCAAAAAAAAAAGACATACAAATGGCAAATGAGTATATGAAAAGATACTTAGCATCACTGATCATTGGAGAAATGCAAATCAAAACTACAATGTGATATCATTTCACCCCAGTTAAAATGGCTTTTTAATCCCAGAGGCAATAATGAATGCAGGCGAGGATGTGGAGAAAGGGGAACTCTACAATGTTAACAGGAATGTAAATTAGTACAACCACTATGGAGAACAGTATGGAGATTCTTCAAAAAACTAATAGAACTACCAAAGGATCCAACAATCCCACTTGAGTATGTACACCTAGGTACATACTCAAAAGAAATCAGTATAGCGAAGAGGTATCTGCACTCCCATGTTTATCACAGCACTGTTCACAACACTCAAGATTTGGAAGCAACCTAAGTGTCCATGATGAATGGATAAAGAAAATGTGGTACATATACACAATGGGATATTATCCGGCCATAAAAAAGAATAAAATCCTATCAGTTGCACAACATAGATAGAACTCAAAGTCATTACGTTAAGAGAAATAAACCAGACACAGAGGGCCGGGCGCGGTGGCTCAAGCCTGTAATCCCAGCACTTTGGGAGGCCGAGGCAGGTGGATCACGAGGTCAAGAGATCGAGACCATCCTGGTCAACACGGTGAAACCCCATCTCTACTAAAAATACAAAAAATTAGCTGGGCATGGTGGCGCGTGCCTGTAATCCCAGCTTCTCAGGAGGCTGAGGCAGGAGAATTGCCTGAACCCAGGAGGTGGAGGTTGCGGTGAGCCGAGATCGCACCATTGCACTCCAGCCTAGGTAATAAGAGCGAAACTCCGTCCCCCAAAAAAAAAAAAAAAAAAAAACCAGACACAGAAAGATAAATCTCACATGTTCCCATTTATTTGTGGGATCTAAAAATCAAAACAATTGAACTCATGAAGATGGAGATAGGAAGGGTAAAAGGGGAGTAGAGGATGGGGGTATAGTTAATGGGTTTAAAAAAAAAAAACTAGGTAGAAAAAATGAGTAAGACCAAGTACTTGATAGCACAACAGGCTAACTATAGTCAATAATAATTTAATTGTATATTTTTAAATAATTAATGGAAAATAATTGGATTATAACACAAAGTATAAATGCTTGAGAGGATGGATACCCCATTTTCCATGATGTCATTACACATGGCATGCCTGTATCAAACATCTCATGTATCCCATAAATATATACACCTATTATGTAACCACAAAAACTAAAAATTAAAAAATAAATAAAATAACTAATTGAATCAAAACATTCAAACACAAAGAAATGCTAAGTGTTGTAGGTGATGGATACTCCATTTACCCTAATGTGACTGTTATACATTGTATGCCAGTAACAAAACATCACATGTACCCCATAAATACATACACCTACTATGTTCCCATAAAAATTTAAAATAAAGCATTTAAAAAAAATTTTTTTTGTCTGCAAATATTCTTTTTGAGACTGAGTCTCACTCTGTCACACAGGCTGGAGTGCAGTGGCACGATATTCGTTCAGCGCAACCTCCACCCCCCAGGTTCAAGCAATTCCCCTGCCTCGGCCTCCTGAGTAGCTGGGATTACGGGCACCTGCCACCACTCCCAGCTAACTTTTGTATTTTTAGTAGAGACAGGGTTTCACCATGTTGACCAGGCTGTTTTTGAACTCCTGACATCAGGTGATCCACCCGCCTTGGCCTCTCAAAGTGCTAGGATTACAGGCATGAACCACCATGCCTGGCCTGTCTACAAATATTCATGCTGGGTTCTACCACTTACAACTGAATGAGTCCTAACTAATTCAGAGAAAGAAAGGTAAAGAACAAGAGAATGGGGATAGGAGAGATCATTATTCACAACAATCAATAAGTACTACTGAACACTGATATCTAAAAATTATTATGCTTAGCCCTCAAGGAATTCTCATTAGGTAAGATTAACAAACAAGATAGCCCTATACAAGACAGCTACTATCAATTTCTGAATTTCATGAGACTATAGGAGCTCAAAAGAGAAAACAGTTTAACACAGTTGTGATTTATGTCAGACTATAAAGATGAGAAAATTGGTGAGGAGGATATGGAGGAGAACTCAAGGGGAGAGAAAGGCAGGTCCTGGAAATATGATAGCAAAAATAGGAAAGAGTAGGTGAGATACTATAGAAAGCGAGAAAATCGGTGGAGCACACTCTATTTTGGGAAATGCTGGGAATAAAGACTAAATAGGTAGACTGAGACCACATGACAAAAAGCAGTAAAGAAAAAGTTGTATAGATTATATTGGCAAACTGCTAGGCTGTCCCACAGATCCATGAATGTTGGGTTGAAAATTTGGATTTGGGTAGCGCAGCAGTAACAAAAAGTAAAGATCAGATCCAGGGAACATTTCAAATAAAGTATCCCACTCTACTTTCCCCGCAAGTGGTATTTTTGCCTATACTGAAATCTTCATCAAACTTATACTATAAAAGTAAAGCAAGGAAAAGTATTAACTTATTAATACTTGTATGTAACTATGGCACCACCTCTAAATTATTTCATTTAATCCTCCTAATTAAAACTTATGACATATTATCATGATTCTTATCTTGCAGATTAAATATATTCGGACTCAAAAAGGTTAGGTAACTTGTCCAAGATTACACAACTAAATAAAAACATGGCCTGCAGAGCTGGGAGGTAGATAATAATCCACTTAGGTCAAAAGTAGTTTTTCCCAAGGACAAATCGTAAGAATATAAAATGATGACAATGATGATAAAAACAGCTAACATCCACTAAATGTTGGGAATTCTGCAAAGCACTTACATGCATTATCACATTTAATATTCCTAAGAGTTCTACAAGGGTCTATGATTAATCTCATTTGAAGGAGATGTGTTCGAGTTCCCCTTAAAAACTTTATCCAAAGTCACAGGGCCAGTTAAGTGGCTGACCTGGGTCGAAGCCAAAATCCCAGTCTGACTCTAGAAGTCATGCTTTTAACTACTATGTCATACTGCCTCCCTAAGAGCCTATCAGAAATAAGCAGAAGAAATAGAGTTAGGATTAGATGAGGAAATACTTTTAGATGATAAAAATCAGAGAAACATATTCTTTTTCTTTCTGTTACAGAAAATAAAATTCAAGCAATCATTTAAAGAACAAATAGAGGGGCCAGGTGCAGTGGCTCATGCCTATAATCCCAGCAGTTTGGGAGGCCAAGACGGGCGGGTCACTTGAGGTCAGGAGTTCAAGATCAGCCTGGCCAACACGGTGAAACCCCATGTCTACTAAAAATACAAAAATAAGCCAGGCGTCATGGCACATGCCTGTAATCCCTGCTGTACTCAGGAGGCTCAGGCAGGACAATCACTTGAACCCAGGAGGCAGAGGTTGCAGTGAGCCAAGAAGAGGTCACTGTGCTCCAGGGTGGGTGACAGAGCAAGACTCTGTCTCAAAAAAAGAAAGGAAGAACAAATAGAAGCATATATCTATAAAAGTATTTCTCTTGAAAAGACTGAGAATTTAAATAAACTCATTTAAAGACAAATTAACTTGGAGACGGTTTTGATGAGTGAATTTGGCATTATACTCCTAAAATAAAACCAAGATCCAGAAACAGGATATTATCTGTCCGAGGCAATACAATTTTTCAATTTACAGAATCAAGAGTAGAATTCAGGGCTTTAGATTCCTGGTTCAGTTTTTCTTTCACTATACCATGCCCATATTCTTAGAAACTGGTGTATATATTAACCATCTATGAGGTTCACAAGTACCTGACAAGTTCTGCTGGTGTCCTGTAATCCTTAAAATAATATAAGGTAAGTATCATCATCCCATTTCAGAGATGGGATAAATGGATATCATAGTGCTTTAGTAAACTGTCCAAGGATCAAGGGCTAGTAAACAACAAAGCCAGGGTTGGAAGCTAGTTATTCCTAAAAAAAAACCCATGTGCTTCAGTGTGACGGTATAAGTGCATGGGAAAACAGGGGTGGAAGATGGTCCTACTAGACATTTTAAAAGCTCTAAGAGATATTAGAAAGCCTTTATAATTGACACAGTGTGGTATTAGCACATGAACAAGCAAGAGAGACCAATGGAACAGAAGGCTTAGAAATAACCCCAAGTACACATGGAAATTTAATATATGAAGAAAGTGGCACTGCCAACCAATAAACATAGGCATTTTAAAATAAATGCTGTGGAGATAACCAGAGAGCAATTTGAATAAAGACAAAATTGGATGTATCTCAAAATATACCATACGTGATAAATTCCAAGTAGATTACAAAGTAAAAACTGAAAAAAAAACATAAGTATCAGAGAAAAAAGGGATAAATCTCTTTATAATCTGGACATAGGGGAAACTTTTCTATGACTCAAAATTCTGAAGCAACAAAAGACTGATAATTTGAAGACATTTATGAATTGTGTGTCAAAATAACAAAATGCAGAAGCAAAGTCTAAAACAAATAAAAAACTGCAAAAAAAAAAAAATCTGCATTTTACCATAGAAAAAGGACTAAGATCCCTAATATATAAAGAGCTTCTAAAAACTGAGAAAAAAAGCAATTTAAAATGAACAAAAAATATTGATGGGCAGTTCACAGAATTCAAATGACCCTTAAAATATGAAAAGATGTTCAACCTTACTCATGAGAATGGAAATTAAAACTAAAATTAAAATAGAAAGAATATAAATAAAATTAAAATTACACTGAGATACCACTTGTCACCTATTAAACAGACAAAAATTCAAAAGTCTTACAACATATTGTTGGTGAGGACAACAAACAATCCCATATAAGACAAGTGGAAATGTAAAACAGCACAACTCTTAGGAAAGGGAGTCTATTTTAACAGTGAGCAAAATTACATATGCATGTGCCTTCAACTCAGCAATCTCACTTTTAAGAATCTACTTCAAAGATATATTGGTAAAAATATAAAATGACTTATGAGCGATGTTACTAATAGCATAAACAAGTCAAATGTCCATCCAAGGGAGACTGAATAAACAATGTTAAAATCCACAAAATGGAACAGGATGCAGCTGTAAAAAGGAATGAGGAAAATCATACACCAATATGTAGTATGCTACTTTTTGTGCAAGAAAGTGGTAAAAATATGAATATAAACATATCTATGTATATGTGTATATGGATATATATTTGCTTATATTTGTAAGAATAAATACTGAAATGTCAAATTTAAAAAAATGGTAAAGGGAAAAGAACAGGGTAGAGAGACATGAATCAAAGTAAGAATATTCTGAATATATCTTATATAGTTTTAACTTTTAAACCACATAAATGAGCCAGGTGCAATAGCTCACACCTGTAATCCCAACACTTTGGCAGGCTATGGCGGGAGGATCCCTTGAGCCCAGGAGTTTGATCCTGGCATAAGCAACATGGTGAGTCCCCATCTCTACAAAACATTTTTAAAATTAGCCAGGCATGGTAGCACATGCCTATAGTCCCAGAGACTGAGATGAGAGAATCGCTTGAGCCCAGGAGGAAGAGGCTGCAATGAACCATGATCATGCCACTGCACTCTAGCCTGGCTGACAGAGCAAGACTCTGTCTCAAAAACAAAAAAACAGGCTAGGCACAGTGGCTCATGCCTATAATCCCAACACTTTGGGAGGCTGAGGCAGGCAGATTACTTGAGCTCAGGAGTTCAAGATTAGCCTGGCCAACATGGCAAAATCCTGCCTCTACTAAAAATTCAAAAATTAACCAGACATGGTGGCACATGCCTGTGGTCCCAGCTACTTGGGAGACTGAGTCAGAAGAACTGCTTGAACCTGGGAGGTAGAGGTTGCAGTGAGCCGAGATGGTGCCATGCACTCCAACCTGGGCGACAGAGCAAGACTGTCTCAAAAAACAAGAACAAAAACACCCAAACCAACCAAAAAGCATATAATTGTTTCACATACACAAAAAAATAAAATTAAAAGGAAAGAAGGAAGTATTGGGGGAAAAAAAGAAAAACCTAAAATGAAAGAGCCTAATTGACGTCAAGTTGGTGAAATAATCGTAGAAAGCACTTTTTCTTCTTTCCAAACTGAAATATCATAGCTGTATTCACTGAAATTTCAACCAGAAGTAAAGAGTAGCATTTCCCACCAAAACGAAAGTTTCCTGGAGGAAGGGCTGATTTCCAAGTCTGAGGCAAGAAAAGAACAAGATGAGACTGAGTACCTTATGGCAGGGGGGGGGGGGGGGGACAAGGGAGCTCTATCAAAGATAACTAGGGTCATATACAAATAACATGAGTATCAACCTGAAGAAGCCCCCATTAGCCAAAGATAGGACAAACTATCAGCAAGGATGACATAAATTGACTGAAACATACCAAAAATATTTTTAAATATGTTCATAATGATACCAAAAATAAAAAAAAAAAAAAAAAGAGAGAAATAAATAAATGTTGGCTGTCTTGTTTGTCACTCATATGGATTATATCAACAGGCTCTTTTGCATACAGCTAGTGCTCGACTTACGACCACGACTGGTTTCGACAGACCGGTCGTAACATGATTTGGTTGTAAGTTGAGTAGGCTATATGTACAGTTGAAATGGTGCAGGTGGAGATGGTAGTGCTGCCGGAAGCTGGTCTGCACTGTCGTACGCCCAGCTGGGCAACGTTTGCGCTGTCAGACGCGGAGCAGTTGTGGCTAGCGATTGTGGTCGTAAAGTCGAATGGTCGAAAGTTGCATAGGTCGTAAGTCGATCAATACCTGTATTAGCTTTTCAGGTAATGGCAGACCCCAGGAGACTGTAATGTAGGGAGGGAGGAGAATAATTCCTGTCTCCCTTAATGGCTGCTCAACAAGAAACCACACTCCCTGTCAGACGGCCCTCTCTCATAGAACTGCCCTCCTCAGCCGCTTTCCTCTTCCCTTATTCCTGATGGCTTAGAGGTGATAGCAATTCCCTTCCTCATTGTGACTAGTCATAGAGCACTGTACTATCCGCACAGGTTTCCTTAAATATTGTCTATACCTTTGTAAACAGTCCTTTACTTAAACTTCCCTCAAATTACCCAGTTTGTGGCATGTCTATCATAAGTCTCCAAAATACCTTGCTATAAAAAGTGGCAGTTAAGGAAAAGATTGAAGCATTCATTTTGTATTTCATGAACTGTATTTCATGATAAACACACAGCCCTAGATGACATTAACATGTGAAAAATCTACACCTCACAGAAGAATTACAGTTAATAAATGTCAAAGGAATAACGGAATTAGAAAATCATTGGCCAGGCGCTGTGGCTCACACCTGTAGTCGCAGAACTTTAGGAGGCGGAGACAGGCAGATCACCTGAGGTAAGGAGTTCGAGGCCAGCCTGGCTAACATGGTGAAACCCTGTTTCTACTAAAAATACAAAAAATTAGCCGGGCATGGTGGTATGTGCCTGTAATCTCAGCTACTCAGGTGGCTGAAGCAGGAGAATCACTTGAACCCAGGGGGTGGAGGTTTCAGTGAGCCAAGATCGCACCATTGCACTCCAGCTTGGGCAACAAGAGCGAAACTCCATCTCAAAACAAAACAAAAAAAAAAAATGAAAAAAGAAAATCATTTATTTTGCTATCCCTAATGAAATAACTGATTTCAGCTAAAGATTATGAATGAATGGAACCATTAGATGAAAGATTAATGAAGGATTCTTACAGAAAGTTATAACAGACTGATGCCACCTGAACAGAATGATCAACCTTAGCATCACTAAGGGCCAGCCAGACATTATGCACCTCCTTGTGAGGCAAAGGAAAAAACAGACAACCAGCAGGGCATGGTGGCTCATGCCTATAATCCCAGCACTTTGGGAGGCCAAGGCAAGCAGATCACCTGAGGTCAGGAGTTCAAGACCAGCCTGACCAACATGAAGAAACCCCCATCTCTACTAAAAATACAAAATTAGCCAGGCGTGGTGGCGCATGCCTGTAATCCCAGCTACTTGGGAGGCTGAGGCAGGAGAATCACTTGAATGCAGGAGGCGGAGGTTGCAGTGAGCTGAGATTGCACCATTGCACTCCAGCCTGAGCAACAAGAGCGAAACTCTGTCTCAAAAAAAAAAAAAAGGAAAAGGAAAAGAAAGTACAGACAATCTGTTAAGTACCCTTGGCTAGAAATCTGAAATAAGTAAATCAAGCTTTTAGATCTAACTACCATTTTATAGGCAATATGGAAGATACAGGAAGAAGTTAAATTACATCATTAGGAAAGTAAAAAGAAAAATCCAGAATGTAAAACAAGGTCCTGTATAGTACCACTGACCTAGTTCCTTCAACATGTTGGGGGATGGGAGTTGGAGAAGCTGGGGGAATGAGACTTCTCTATATTAAGAAGAGATTAGACTCTTGGCTGGGCACAGTGGCTCATGCCTATAATCCCAGCACTTTGGGAGGCTGAGGCGGGCAGATCACCTGAGGTCAGAAGTTTGAGACTAGCCTGGCCAACATAGTGAAACCCCGTCTCTACCAAAAATACAAAAATTAGCTAGGCGTGGTGGCAGGCACTGGTAATCCCAGCTACTCAGGAGGCTGAGGCAGGAGAATCGCTTGAACCCGGGAGGTGGAGGTTGCAGTGAGCCAATATAGCGCCATATACTCCACCCTGGGCGACAAGAGCAAAACTCCACCTTCAAAAAAAAAAAAAAAAAAAAAAAGAATTTTAAAGGACCTAACCAAAGAAAAGCAACATTTAGAACATTTAGACTTTGGATCCAGATTCTCATAAAGCAACTGTAAAATAGACACTGTTTTAGACCATCAGAGAAATCTGAATATAAACTGGAAATTAATGATACCAAAGCACTTTTAATTTTGCTAGGCATGATAATGGCCATTATGGTTATACAAGAAAATGTCTTTTTTTTTTTTTTTCCAAAGATGCTTACTGAAGTAAGTATGAAATGGCAATATATGGAATTTACTTTTTCCAAAGATGCTTACTGAAGTATGTAAGGATGAAATGGCAATATATGAAATTTACTTTAAAATGTTTTGGTACAAAAAAGGTGATTAATGAAATAAAATGTGATGACATTTTGAAAACTGCAAAATCTGCGTAACAGGGGTCCGCTATCCTATTTTCCCTACTTCTGTGTACATTTGAAACTTTTTATTATAAAATTATCAAACAGAACAAAAATTCACATTATTTCCAGTGTAACTACAGTTTTCAAACTTGAGTGTCTAAGAATCCATATCTCATGTAAATCCTAAGAATCATCTCAAAAAATTGTCATTTTGTTTGTCTAGGCAAGATCCCAAATTCCATTTTTAAGTGCCCCAAGTGAATCTGATACAGACAATCTATAGCCTCATGTCTGAAAACTATACACTTAATTGCTTTACTACAAAGTAAATCAAACCTTAAAGGAAAGTCATGATCATATCTCTTACCTGCCCTTTACCTTACCCCACACCTATCTTAGTGTGACAGACATTTAATTAATCATTTTCCTGAGACTACAAATTCCATGAAAGTAGGGCATGTTTGTTTTTATTCACCATGGTGTTCCACTGCATAGCAGAATTCCTAGCACACAGTATACAACAAATAAATATTTGTTAAATGAAGGAATTAATGAAGAACAGAAAAGAGAAAAAGGAAAAGTTAATTGCAGTCCACTGTTTCAAAATTAATTTGAGGGCTGGGTGCTATGGTTCATGCCTGTAATCCTAGCACTTTGGGAGGCCGAGGCAAATGGCTCACTTGACACCAGCCTGGGCAACATGGCAAAACCCCATCTCTACAAAAAAAAAATACAAAAATTAGCCAGGCATGGTGATGCACACCTGTAGTCCCAGTTACTCAAGAGACTGAAGTGGAAGGATGGCTTGAGCTCAGGAGGCAGAGGTTGCAGTGAGATAAGATTGTGCCACTGCACTTCAGCCTGGGTGACAGCACCAGACCCTGTCTCAAAAAAAAAAAAAAAAAAAAAAAAGCAGTTCAAGACAACAATCTGAGAAAATTTCAATTTCTTGCCAAAAATCTAGTATCAGAAGTATGGATCAATTAAGAGGGGTACAGGTTGGCTTACCCTTAAAAATAAAACACAAGTATAAGACAACCTCTCACCTCCCTGAGACATTAGATTTTGGACATTAATTTGAACATCTTCCTCTTGTTTAGGAACTGTAATAAAAATATACTCTATATTTCATAATCCCAAACAGACAGGGCAAGAATATTAGGGAAGAAAACTGTATGTTTACATTTTAATAGATATACAAATGAAAAATTACCACTTCTTCTGTTGAAAAAGTACAAACCCCTACAGTTATGAATATAAATCACAAATTCAAAAAGTAATGCCAAATATAACAATTAAAATTAATTTAGGAACCAGTTCTAAAAATAGTACTTACCAAAGATGGTTGACAATCTTACATCTCTACCCTAACAACATTTAACTGTTGAAGCTTTATTTCTTAAATTACATTTTTTTGGAGTTTTAATTGAAATATAATAAACAAAGTCTCATAGAATTTTTATTTTTTGAGACAGAATCGCACTTTGACAACCAGACTGGAGTACACTGGCACCAATTATGACTCACTGCAGTCTCAACCTCCTGGGCTCAAACAATCTTCCTACCTCAACCTCTCAAACAGCCGAGACTACAGGGGAAGCCACAACACCCAGGTAATTTTTAAAATTTTTTTGTAGAGCCAAGGTCTCTCTATGTTGCCCAGGCTGGTCTCAAACACTTGGGCTCAAGGGACACTTGCACCTTGGCCTCCAAAAGTGCTCAGATTACAGGTGAAAGCCACCACGTCAGGCCTCTTGTAGAATTTTCAGAGATATAAAGGACATCAGCAACTATCTGGTCCAACTCTTTGTTCTACAAATAGGGAAAATGAAGCCTAGATAAGAAAAATGATATACTCTGTCACACAGAGAGTTAACAGCAAAACAAGACTATTCTCTGAATTTTCAGTCCAATGTCTTTTCACAACACCACGCGAATGGCATATTTTTAAGAATAAATACTTTCCATTGTGAATTGCAGTACTATCTGTTCATCTTCTTGAACACATGTGTGTGGTATCCAACAGCTACACTGTGGACTTACACTGAATGGATATACCCCCTTTTTGGGGGGGATGAGAATGGAGAAGTAGAGCTTTTGGATTATCTTCAGCAATAGAACTCCATATACATTTTCTCCTGGTAAGTGGGTTTTTCTATCAATTATCATAAAAGAATCCGTAATTTTCACCATATAGCCATAATACCAAAACTTACAACCATGTAGTGAAACTATTGTAAAGTTATGCAAAGTCTAATCTAAAACTGAGAATTTACTCTTTGTTCAATATAAAATTTTATATGTAGTTCCTTCTTCCGAATTAAAAACACTTCTTACTCAAAAGATTAACAAATGACCTAATTCATATCTCAGCTGTTACTCTGAGCCACCTCTCTACATACCCACAGAGTGCTTGTAGTGTGAGAGAGCCTATTTACAGAGCACATACTGAAAGTATAAAAGATACACACAGAAAGAGAACAAGATAACAACTCAATCTCCATAAATTCGTTCCCAATTGCCTTTTATATCCAACTAAACCCTTGGCACAAAGTAGATACCATGTTATAAATCATGACTAAACGAATAAACAGTCTCCAAAAGATCCTCCCCATTTACTGAATCTATCTAATTAGGAACTGTAATAAAAATGTACTCTATATTTCATAATTCCAAACAGAGAAGGCAAGTATACTAGAGAAGTAAACTATATGTTAACATTTTAATAGATATACAAATGAAAAATTACCACTTCCTCTGTTCAAAAAGTACAAACCCCCACAGTTATGAACATAAGTCAAAAATTCAAAAATAATGCCAAATATAAAATTAAAAATCATTTAGGAACTAGTTCCAAAAATAGCACTTACCAAAGATGGTTGACAATCTTACACTGATTGTTCAATGGAGAATAAATGTCTCCATTTTCAGTTACCATTGGCTTACGCATTAATAATACACAA